TTTAATAGCCGGGCAGTGGTGGTGCACGCCTTTAATCCCAGCACTTGGGAGGCAGAGGCAGGCGGATCTCTGTGAGTTCGAGACCAGCCTGGTTTACAAGAGCTAGTTCCAGGACAGCCTCCAAAGCCACAGAGAAACCCTGCCTGGAAAAAACAAAAACAAAAAACAAAAAACAAAAAAGAATGGTAGTTTTTACCTTAGCCTAGTTTCAGTTAAGCAACCAATGAGGTGCATGATGTTTCAATCTGTTAAAAAGCACATCAACGCCTAATTCTCAATATTAACTGTGCCTGAGAATCTTTTGTGGGCCTTTCGGTAAAATGATATTTTCTAGGCCTTATCCTGGATATTTTAATTCTCTAACTCTGGAATGAGGCTAAAACTCACCGAGAACCACTAGTCTGTTAATAGTGGACACTCAAAAAACTAAGTGATATATAAGAGCAAAACAACACATTTGCTTTTCAGAACATTCATAGAATAAAGGCAGCAACATTTTAAAAAGTGAAGAGAGGCAGTGGTGAGAACTGAACTCATAGAGGTACTCACTAAAAAAATGTGGTAAAGGCTAACTGACGGTTCTCCAGTTATACATATTAAAGGTGAAGAGATGATCTCTTCTCAAAGAATGAGAAGAAGCATTAGACAGATTACATTATGATGCTTTGGAGCAATACAATATGCCTAGGGAACCAAGAAATAAATATGAGTAGGAAGGTAAATAGGACACCTTTCTGAAGAGAAATGTAAGAAAATGAAGATTAATTTTATCATATAAAGCAGGGTTTTCAAGTTGAGTTTCACAGAACTCATATTCAGAAAAGCTAGTTAGTGTATGTCGCAAGTAGCTGAGTAAGATGGCACTCAAATGCACATACTGTACTTAAAACAGGTTATAATAAACTGATGCACTAGCCTGCTTCTCTGATCTTAAGCATTTTTTCATTTATTATGAAGAGTTTAGCTTTACATTTTTTTATGGGTAACAAATGCTTATACAAAAATACAAAATACAAAATATTGATTGGCTATGTAACTTGCTATAATTCATCAAATAAATTTAACCAATAAAATATCACCTTTATTTGTTTTAATCCATTTTACTGGAATTGAACAAGATTTTTGTTTCTAGAGAACTACTGCTCTATGGAAACTAACAAAGAATTTGTCCCAGGCAAATCATATTGCATTTGGGTAATAACATTATTACAACAAAATGAAGTATAATAAGGTAAAATAAGAAGTGAGGAAATCGGAATGTTTTCAAGATACAAATCAAGAAAATAAGATGAAATGAATAAGTACGAGGGAAGGAAAATGGCATAAAATTCAGAAATACAAAGGAAATAGGATTTGATTGTTCATCAGATAGGAAAGGGAGGGACTTGGTTCAGAAAAACAGAATCTAGATTTCTACTTCAATTTTAGCCATGATGAAAAGGTAATGTACCCAGAAGGTGCTGACTTCTTACTATTCAGAATAAAGTGTTCTATGCTCATTTAATCAGAAAGTCTAAATGAAGTCCTCATTTCAATAAAAGTCCTAATTTTAGATTTCCTCATGCATTTTATATATCCATGATAGACTATGTTACCTATAATATAATTACATAATCACTTCTCGAAATTAACTGTAGTCCTTGTCAGCGATGCTATTGTGTTTTCCTTATTTGGTGTGACTTCAGTACTATCAATACATAGCTAATACAGCTGTCTAAATTTGTTTCAAATTTATTACCCTAAATGATATATTATTTATATTATATATTATAATGGCTATATTTGTTCTATCACAAACAAGAAAATTTTTCAACTTTAACAATATAAATATTTTATCACCCCTCCCAACTTGTGCACTGGCTTCCCTGAATTTTCTTCTGAGATTCTTATATGCTTTCTTTCAGATAAAGAAAAGATAAATATTTATTCCCATACTACAGATGCAGAAACCAAGGTTCCAAGGAGAAAACTATCTTTCCCATGATAGTGTGACTGGCAGATGGCAGGGTTTTAAATGTCTATTTTTTTTAATCTAAGGCATCTGATTCATAGGCCAGTGCTCTTCCTACTATGCCAAGTGCATTTGAAATAATACATTCATAACTCTGCCACGTGTCATGACTATTCGCCTCTTAATAAACTTGTGCGTGACCTGTGCTGCACTTTATTTCCTGTATTTACATATCTAAATTGTCTTTATTTAAATTTTTCTCTACCTATTTCCTTTGTATTTCTGGATTTTATGCCATTTTCCTTCCCCAGTACAGGCTCAACTGTCTAACATCCATTCATCTGGTTCAGAAGTCTACCTGTTCTATTCTAATCTTATCTCTATTAAAATTTTCCTGTATCATTATCACATTCATTCATTGAGGGGATTAGGAATTTTTTTTCAGAATGTGGGAAAGGAAATAGAAAAAAATAAAGGACCAAGATGTAATTCTCCTGCATAACAATTCAAAACGGGGTTCTAGGACTCTTTCACTTGCTTGTTCCATTAATATCTATTACATCATATGAGGGGGAATCGTTATTGTATTCAAATTTCACACAATTGATTCATTCTAAGTAAACTTGGACTTTAAATGAACTAACAACTATAGATTTAATATTTTATAATAATCCTCCTAGGAAGAGCTGAGGTAATAACTAAAAGCTTATTATATATCATTTGTCTACTACAAAATTAAGAATTTGCAAAAATTTTCTTTTTTGAAGTAGAAAATTATTTGGTACTTAATTCCTGCAATTTCCAAAGTTTATTATTTCTCTTAGTATGTATTCAAACACATTTATAAAACTAATTTATTTGTATCATACAAATGACTTAAATCTTTTTTCTTGTATAAATCATCTCAAAATTATACTCAAATGCAACCCAAAATAATCAATGAAAAAATATATCACATTATAAACTGATACTATAATATCTTTATATAGTAACCTTACATCTGTTTTATTAACTCTTATTTTCTTTCCCTGTCCAAAATTCTGCTTGCTTATTAGGAGCTCAAAATCAAAATATAACTGCCTAAAGTGTTTTCTCACTAAACCAGAACACTGGTTATTTTGGAGTCTTTATGAGTGTTGCAAGTTCTCACAAGCATTAAGCTTGTAGAATCTGAACATTCATGAAGGACCTAAAACCCTTTTTTTTATATCTAGAATTTTAAGAAAGTGTCATTGGACACATTAATCTATTACCTACTTAATTCTAGCAACAAGATAAGAGCCTTATTCTTTTTACATCGAACAGAGAAATAGAATTAGCAGTTTCTCTGAATGACAACAAAGGAAACCAAATGACTACCATTTCGCCTTCAGTTTACTATACACAAATATATTTTGTCCACTTATTGGGTCTTAACTTCTTTCAAATACTACTTTTTCTGTGTGTTTTTCTTCTCTTTAAACCACCATTGCTTTTTACAAATGAATGCCCAAATTGATGTCTGATTTTAATTGACCCACTACCAGGCTCTTTGGTGCTGGCATGCCAACCATTTCCAGCCCTGCGTGTGTGTGTGTGTGTGTGTGTGTGTGTGTGTGTGTGTGTGTGTGCGCGCGCGCGTGATGTGTGTGTATACATGTGCGTTCCCTTGTTTCTTCACAGCAGTAAAATAGCAATCTAACAGGCCTTCAAGCCAAGGCAAAACTTACCTTGCAAATCTGGAAATAGTCTGAAGTCAGGCTTTCCTGAATTTCCTCTCTGAGAGCCCCTGCAGTCCCTCCTGGATGTAGAGAGCCGCTTCCAACCCCTCCACTGTTACTGCTGCTGCTGCTACCACTGCCAGGGGAAGAGGCAGTTAAGCCATCCAAAACTTTTCGGAAATTAAACTTCTTCATTTTCAACACTGTTAAAAAAATTAAAAGGAAAGAGAAGGGGTGACAAACATGGAACTCATACGGGGCAAAAGCCTTTATCTTTTCAATAGTCAAGACAGGAGTAGCTAGCCCCCATTTTATGAGCATTGGGTGTAATCTAGTGGAGATTGGGGCTCGGTCTTCATTTTGTCGAATTTTAACTTTAAAAAGCATGTCTTTACAAAATAAAGAGAACGCAACTCCGAGAGCAACAGTATTCCTTCCTCACACATCAGATTTTCAAGGGCTTTATCCCCAGCTGTAGCTATGCTTTATCAGCACTGGGGTAAAAATAAAAGGCAGTGTCATCATCGTCATTAGCATTATATCATCATTATTATACAATCAAACCAGAGCCCGATAGACCAAGACCCTCTGAATGGTTCTGAAAGGGGGCTTTCCTTCTTAAGGGTCAGCTCCGAAAATTTTGTCAGAAAAAGCGATGTTGTGAGGGAGCCAATATTTACTCTGCCACCATGTTCGGGGCTCTCCCCCCATCATTTTCAATGCTCCCTCTTTCTCAATAGGAATTGGGGGATAGGGCAAAAACGGCTTTTTCCATCCCATATTCTCCAAAACCCGGACCCCAAAACATCTGCGGGTGACTCACGGCCACAGCCGACGGGAGAGGTGAGCGGGGGACCGCCTGCCTCCACCTGTCCCCGTCTCCTCTTCTGCCCCTCTCCCGCCCCTAGTCTCCGGTGTCCCCTCCCCACCGACTACCCTTCTGCACAGCAGCAGCTCTCTGGGGATGTGAGGCGGTGGTGACGCCTGCGGCCCGAGTCCCGCCTCAGCCTGCAGGGCGCGCAGAGCTGGCTCCCTGGCTCCCTCCTGCCGAGCAGGGCACCGGGGCTACCACGGCGGGCTGCGAGCCCTGGAGCCCTCACAGACAGCGGCGCACGCCACACGCACCTCACAGACAGCGGTGTGGGCGCTCACACACACACACACACACACACACACACACACACACGCACGCACACGCGCACTCAGACACACATGCACTCACACACGCACACAGGTGTGAGAGCAAGCCGCGATGGGACGACACGGGTGTCCCTCGGGACCCCAGACTTAGCACCTTCCTCGGACGCCGCTAGCCACCAGCCAGCCCGTGAGGCGGAGGGCGCGGAGGCTGCGGGCTCGCAGGCGGGCGACGGTCCAGTCCGGCTCCAGCCGCTTCTCGGATCCCTCTGGTCCTGGTGCCTGGCGCTCTCCGAGGTCCTAACCCAGCGGGCGGGTCTGCCGCAGGCTCCGCCCCCGCCGTGGGAGGTAGGCCCCGCCCCAGCAGGCCCGCACCCTCCTCCCTCTCCCAGAATCTCGCATCGGGGCGGGGCACTCTAGGCGCTAGAGGGCGGGACATCCCTTCGCCAATCACAAGCTCCACTGACCCAAGTCCCTGGGACTCCAGGTAGGAATGAGGTTTAGGGATAGGTCAGACAAAAAGTCAATGACAGGAGGAGGGGCTAATTTAGGAAAGTAGGTGAGGTGTTTGATTGACAGCCATACCAGCCAGTATGTCCTGGCGCTGTGCTTTGGGGGCTGTAATTGGCGCTACCTGTTGAAGGACGCAAGTGAGAATCAATAGAATGCTTGCGAACTTGAGAACTTGGTGCTCCTGGAGTCCGTGGCTGCAGAAGGGTTACCTTGGGTCTCTCTCTCTGGACCACATTGGAAAATGGGCTTTTTTTTTTTTTTTTTTTTTTTTAGCCTTTTCTTTTCCCGAATCTCTTCCTGCTCTCCAGGTGCATCTATTGGGCTCCCCTCGCAACCCTGCTATCTTCAATTAACCTGTGTTTGTAAATAATCCCCACAAACTGTTAGCCTCCTAATGACTTAACAAGTCATCTGTATCAAAATGAACTGATTTTTGATGAAGTGTTGGCTTCCAAATCTTAAGTAATTAATTGCCCACCTCTGCACAACCCACGAAATAGACCCACGATCCCCTTCTTCACATAGACGAACTAAATTTTCAGGACATTTCTCTCAAACCACATCAAGAAGCATTTTAAGCTTTCTCTCATTTAAATCATTTTGAGAAATACTTTATTCCACACAGGAAAACAAAACAGTGCACCATCGTGGGAAGACGTAGTTCTGAGCCCTGATTGGTTGTTCTTAAAAGATAGTTCAGGGTCCATAGCTAATAGTATGCTTCAACCTGAGCATCACAACAGAGACCATTAGTAATCGTCCCAAATATTTATTGTTTTATATCATAGATATGGGATGAAACTTACATCCTCTTCCCTTTCTCTTTCAAAGGAAGAGATAAGAGGAAGAAAAGGAGACATTTGAATGTTACATGAATTATTCAGGTACATACCAAAGGAACCATAGGGCTCATATTTTCGGATCCTCAGATCGATGTCACATTCTCATTTTGACATCTTAACGTTTGCATTACTTCTTTGTAACCCACTTTATACTTTCATTGTCACAACTAGATGGTAAATTTTTTATCAGTGAGAGTGGAATTTTGTGCTTCTAGTTAATTTAGTACCTAGCACAATATTTCACTTGTAAAAGACATTTAAGGTTTTTTGGACAATAGGTTAGTTAATGACCATCAGTTAAAGATTTGTGAGATAATACCCAACTTTTTGCGTTTGAGAGGGGTGAAAAATAAGTGTAGAAACAAATTCAATATCTGTTATAAAATAGATTTTAGTATGCTTTTAAATTGTATATTAGAGTCATAATAATGTGTATCTTTGTCCTTAACTGTCTTCTCTCACTTATATTTCTTCCTTCTGACCCATTGTTCACTTCCAAACATTACTGTCAATATGAGCTAAAGGATTTTCTTTCTCTTTTTATATCTGGCTTTTCTTTCCAAAGTATGATAGTGAATTAAGCATTGTTGAATAGAATGATGAGTTCTGAATGCTTTCTTTCCTTCAGCAAAAGTTGACCTACCTGCAACTCCTTAAGTGTTAAATGAATGAAAACAAGTCCATTCCATGTGGAGGTCTGGTGAAAGCAAAGAAAGAAGATATCCCAGTTCATCACTGAATCACATTATTAGCTGTTTTAAGTTTATAATATTTATTTGGAAATACATATATGCATACAAATCACTCATCACCAAAATCGCACTATCACAAACTAGGTGGTTGTTTGTGATCTATTTAAAAAAAAAAGGTTGAAAAGTGAAAAGCATGTGAAATAGATTGACAAAAACTTTTCTGAAGACAATGAAGAGAATTCAGCAGCCTGCTGAGTTAAAAAAAAAGTGATAAAGCACACATCCATACAGCTGGGACAACAAATAGGTATGAAAAGTCTTGTCAAAATATATACATGCTTTTGGGGCTGGAGAGATGGCTCAGTAGTTAAGAGCACTGTCTTTGCTCTTCCAGAGGACATGAGTTCAATTTCTAGCACGCACATGGCAGCTCACAATTGTCTGTAACTCCAGTTCCAGGGGATCCAATAATCTCACACATATATGCAGGCAGGCAAAACATCAATGCATATAAAATAAAAATAAATAAACCTTTTACATATATAGTTCCCTATATGTGTTTCCAAATAAATATTATAAACTTAAAACAGCTAATAATGTGATTCAGTGATGAAACAGTTGTTAACATGTGCAGGACTCTTTTTATCCTCTAAATGCACACACATATGCACACACAAAATTAAAAATAAAACAAAGTACTATATTTGCGACTCTCTGTCATTATTCTAAATATAAACAATACTATACAGTAGCACAATAACATTTACAAGGTCAGTATCCAGCATATATTAACCTGAATAAAAGATGAATGTAAAAATATTAACATAATTATAACAGGTAAAAGACAAAAAATCTCCTGTGGACAGAAAGTACAGTGATGACAGCCTAGATTATAGGCAATGACAGAAGTTGGCAAAAGGCAGAAGGCACCTTGAATACTGGCAAACAGCATATACCACCATCATAGAAGAATCTCGATACATGAATCATAGTGAAATATATGGGAAGCACATTCCATTCTGAATTAAAAACCAACAAGGTGTTTTTCTATAAACCATTTGGTAGCAGGAATGAAATCAGAGCATAAAATATATCTTTAAAACATTGGGGAAAATGTCAAAACTGGATCAACTATTTGATCCCTATACCCTTAAGGAATAGCCTCACACCGTGGAATTGCCTGAGTGGAGTTTCTGAAAAGACCCTGAATTCTTTCTACCTATAAAGAGCTAGCAGAAATAAAAACTGTTTGAGCTTGATACTTGCAACAAAGTAATTAAATCATTCAATGAAACTAATAAACTGGAAGGAGTTTTAGAATATGTGTTGGAAGCATGTTGCAACTCACTGTAAGAAGGTATGATCTTGGGCCAACAGTGAAGTTGATCAAAGCCACTTTTCCACATGAAAAAGCAATCAAATAATAGCACAAAAATGTACATGTGTGATACTTCAAATAGAAAGGAGAATTTGTGGAATTGGCTGTACTTTGATAAAAAGGAAGCAAATGTGTAAATAATACATAAAGTTCTACCATGTGAATGTCACCGATATTCCAAACATTGGAAGGTATGGACTTTACAAACATCAGTTTACTTCCCATTATCACTCTAGGAGACAGATAATCATTCTCCCCACATTTTACAGATAACAAAACAAGGCTCAGAAAGATGTCTGCCCTTGGTCCTTTAAGATATCTAATCCCCAAATCTAGGACTAACTTCCAAGACCACATTCTTACTCACCTATTACTAAAGGACTAAACAAACTAGAATAGGAAAGGGAGTGATCAGTTCTTCTGGGAAAAAAATGTGCATTAATTTGCCTGAACTGCTATAACAAAATACAAGAAAATGTATTTTCTCACCATTTTGGAATTTAGCGTTCTAAGATCAAGGTATCAGCAGTCTTATTTTCTTCTGAAGCCCCTAGAAACCTCTCTGTGTCTTTTATCTGTGGGCCAGAACTCTAGTGTCTCTGTGTGTCCTGATTGACTCATCCTATGATACCCATTAAACTGTAGTAGAACCCATCTCAATGGCCTTAATTAAATATAAACTTTAAGGCCTCAATTCCAAAGGAAATTGCTTTCTGGGGTAAGGTTGAATAGAGGGATACAGGTTAGTTCATAACAGTGTAATCATGGAATTTGATACTTTTTGGAGAGGCTCTACTGTAAACTAGATCTATGTCAATTTTTTATATTTGGCTCCTCATTTAATCCTCCCAGACATGATATGCGGTGGTTACTGATAACTCATTTTATAGGTGGCAAAACTGAAGAAAAAATAAATTTGTAAGCCCAGGATCATGCATAAGCTCAGAAATAAAGATTTAAATCATCAATCTTATCCCAAAGCTCCAAAGCTTTCTATTTATGCTGGTTGTTTTCTTTTGAGAAACCAAGGAAATCTCATTATACATATCTTTGATATTTAAGAAAGTTAATTATGGCCAGGTTCAAGCACGAGGATAAAACATAAATAAAAAAATCTCATCAGGAGTTTGGATACAACTAAAAGGCATTTAAGAATTGGAGGGCAAAGAGCATGAAAAGCAAAACCTTCTGGGATGGCAAGATCATGGAAGGTTATCTCAAAGGAAAGCTCGGTATAATTTGAAATATATTAACAGAGTCACTAGGGTGTGCCCCATTAGAATAGAAGACAGCCAGTTATTCAATAACTAATTAGACAGCGCAAGACAGTATTAATTTCCTGAGTGAGGCTGAAGTCTCAGCAAATATCAGAGCAGCTGGAGAGAATCTGAGTAGAAAGTCTGATAACATGGGATTTGCCATAATGCAAGGCAAGCAACTGTTCCCATTAGCAAAAGCAAACTTCTCCAGTCCACTCTCTGTGAGATAATGGGTCCTAGACCAAACAACCTCAACCACCACCCATTTCAGGTTCATCAGACAAGTTACAGCCACATCTGTATTATTTGCCACCTTAGAAGTTAGAATTTCATTGTGAGAAAGCAGCTGAGAAGCCTAGTCCCATCTATATTCTTTCTGGCAAACTTTCAAGCAGATTAGGAAATTATCCTTCCTTTCAAATCTTCAACTGACATTTTTCTGACCTTATCATATATCCTTCATCAGAGAAACTGGTTAATAATTGTCAGCTCTCTATAGTAGGGTATAACCAACACCTTTTAAAAAAATCACTCAGCAAGCCCACAAAGAAAAAAAAAGCACACAGGGTTAATTAATTAAATAATGTCATAGCTCCCATGGGTTTCCGATAAAAAGCCAGGGGTCACAAGGATAGAACCAAAACATACAAAGTATGGCTCAGCACACAATCAATAACAGAATTGCAAACAGAACTCATGCCTTCCAGGACAAAACTCAAATATTTGCTGTTAAACATGCAATTAAAATCAGCTCTTTGTGCCTACTCTAAAATAGATTTCACATACTCATCTATCACACTGTGATATGATAAGATAAAGGGTTTCATGTTGACACAGACCTAAGCTTAGTCACTGCAGGACTAAAAGGTACCTTCAGCCCCAAAGACTCAAGCTGCTCCCTGCATATAATAAACAATCTAGGCTATAACATGAAACAAATGGTATGTAAAAGTGATTTATAGAATGCAAACAACTTACAGATACATTGTTATCTTTGTTCTTCTTTTACATTTGTGAAACAGTTTATAAAGCTTGGCTTGACTTTTGACTTGTTCTTCCATTTTAGTGATCTTAAAGTTTCCAGCATCTGTGGATTGACTGCCGCTGAAGGACAAAGGGGATTGGACCAGGTGACCTTTAAATTCTGTCTTTGTGTGCTTTTAGTCAAAACTTCACTAAAAGGGTAAGTTAAAAGTATCCTTGTAGGTATTTGCCAATAGAGAGGAACTGCAGCCTATAATAAAAACCCAAACAAAACAAAAACAAAAAATTTTTAAAAACCCACAGGAATCTTTAAAAGCATTTTTAAATCTTTAAAATCTTCTAGTAATGAGTGTTCTCTAGAGGTCATTTTTAAGAAACTATAATAAAGCAGGGCAGTGGTGGCACATGACTTCAGTCCCAGCTCTTGGGAGGTAGAGGCAGGTGGAGCTCAGTGAGTTTGAGGCCAGACTGGTCTACAAAGAGAGTTCTAGGACAGCCAAGACTGTTACACAGAGAAACCCTGTCTTGAACGTACCCACATGCACACACACACACACACACACACAAGAAACTATAACAGTTATAAACATATATTTTAGTCATTTTAAAGAATATTTTCAAACAAATTTAAGTATCTAAATATGCTGTTTTAACCTCTAGTTTTTGTAACTTGACATTTTTGTGAGCATTTCCTACTACATTTTTCTTTAGGCAAACTGGTTTTGAAAATTAAGCACATCAGTATGACATAGTTCATTTAATTGTTTCTATATTCTTGGCTATTTCATGTATAATATTATATTACTATGAATAAAAAATAAGGAAATGCCTTTATACTAAATATATAAAGAAGTTCCAAGGGCTTTTTAAGGGATATTATTATGTCAGGATACTGTACTTTCACACATAATTCTAAATTCTATGTTTTAAAGATTTTCACAAATTTATATCCTCATTAAGAACATATATCCCTGCTGAAAACTCATGGTACAAAGAACCAATGTAAAATGAAATTTGATATAACCTGTATTTATGCCAATTTTTTTCTAGATGTTGATAAAATTTGAGGATGAGGATAGTTTTACAATGATGAGTGACTATGCACAATCAACTAAATACAACATGGCAAAGGAGAGCAGGTGAGTGCTTGTGGTTTGGGCTTGAAAGAAACTACAAAAGTTTTTAATAAATTTTTAACAAAGCTCAGAAAGAAACAGTAACACATACTTGACTTCTAATCATAAAAAGTGGTAACAAGTTCCCATTTTGTTGGCACTTAATGATACTATATACTGTTGCTATTTGAATGGACATGAGAAAGTCAGAATGTGAATAGCTGAAAAGGTCAATAAAGATGTGTAGCTAGATCTACAAACGAGCAACTTGGTAAGAAAACAACCAAGTAGATGTGCAGGCAATGTGGCTGAGACATCTGTCACTCCATTGATCACTAGGATTGACTCAGATGATGTGGCTGACTAGGCAGGTGTCCCCTTCCTCCGTCACTGCTCCATGTTCATCCCTCCTGAAGCTGCACACTTCATCAAAGAGGACTACCTTCCTCCAAATACAGAGGACCAGTCTTCAGTAAGGATGGAGTAGCTGTCCTCCCCAGCTAGAACCTCCAATCAAGTTCTCAGAACAGTCAAGTGGTAAAAGAATGTTCAAAACAGTTTGGGTATTTACAACTATGGAAAAAGTAGGAAGGGATGTTAACTTTGGAAATGGTCATTCAAACTGAATTTGACAGCAAGATTCAATCAACAAATAATGGATTAACTGACCCTGAGCTAGATAAAATGAACTTTAAAGATAGACTGCTTTTCTTGGGCTTGAAGCAAGGAGACTAGTGGAAACAGTCCTATTTCAACCAAGCCTTTCACACCTGGAGCTTTAATTCACCAAGACACAGGAAGATTGTGCCATTTTAAGCAGAGATATGTATTTGTTTTGTAGTGACAATAACAGACAGCATTAGTAACTTTTATGGTGGGTAACAAAGGGTTAAATGTTAAAATTTTTACAAGTCTCCATATTCATGATTAGTTCTGTTAAAATCATCAACTGGAACTTTAAATAATAAGTCAGAGTTCCAGGAACAAAAAATTAAAATCCTATGTAAAGGTGGAAGAAGAGATGAGTGACATCTTGTGGGGCCCAACTGTAGGCACCAAGATAAGAGAATCCTTATGTGTTCCTCTCTAGCCTTCTGTTCTAATCAGCTCTTTCACTAGCTTAGACTGACAAGACATTATTGTTTTCTTAACCTTTGCCAAGCTGAGGCACTTTACAAGGTTTTTTTGTTTTGTTTTTTCAGTAGCAGCAAGAGTGATTTATGGGTTATTTGTCCCTCTAGCTCTCTTCAGTTAGGAAAACAAAACCCACATTTCTCAGTCTCATTTGTCCCTCCCCATTCTTCCAATTCTCTGCTGCCTTCAACCATAGTCCTCTAATACAAGTCTTGTATTGATTTGCACAGTTTTTCAAGAGTGTCAGTGTCTAATACACTCTAATTATGGAAACTGAATATCATGAACTCTCCAGAACAGTTCCTACTTAAAATATTCTGTACCACTGCTCTCATAAGCCATCAAAAACATTCAGTGCCTCAACAAATATGACTATTTTCCATAATGCTGTTTTTAAATTTGAATGACAAGACCTTTAGGAGATGTGATGCCCATGGTACATCTTTTAGAACAGAACTCTGCAGTCAGATAAACTCGAGTCTGCCATCTATTCATTGCAGACAGTGAACAAATTCATTTGTTTGCTTCAGTTTTCTATGTATTGAGGTAATATAAGATTACAGATTTCTATGAAGACCAGATGACAGGATCCATGTTGGCACATAACAAAATGCCTGGTGAATTGGAAATCACCCAAAATGTTTGTTCCTCTCATTTTTCAGCACTAGAATTCTTGTATGAATTGTGGTGATTACCAAAAAAGTTATAAGGGACCCCCACAAGGTAAAAACATGAAAAGGAAAACCGTACTGCCTACTAACATCTGCAGCTTGGATAGCTGGATATTTAAGGGTGACTAGTGACTTTGTTGTTTAGAAATAAACTCTTCAAAGAAACTGAGAAGTTGGCTAGGTTTTGGTATAGACATCCAGAATACAAATGGAAGAATAGACAAGAAACTCAGTCATATTATCTGCTTAATAAACTCTAGGACCTTAAACCAGACTTTAAAAAAAGCTTGCCAGTAGAAGAGGGAATGTATTTTTTAGATGGTTAAATATATGGAACAAATTTCAGTATGGATGGAAATGTTATTTCAACCAGAAAGATAATATGTAACCTAAGTCTGTCTCTATTCAGACTCCAAGACTGAGAACTGTGAAGGTTTTAATCATTTTCTTCATCTCTTTTGTTTTTCTAATTAAAAACTTAAAGATTTTAACATAACCATCGGCAGTCACTGGCATTGCAAAATATTTCTCAATAATCCACAGGAAGTACTCAGTGTCTTGCCAAAAAGTTCTGGGGAGGTAGGAGATGGAAAGAATAAACAATTCTTATGCAAACTGACTTCTTCAAACAAAGCCAGGAAGGAGTTATATGTCATCATTTCAGTAGCAGATGATGGAAATGAGAACACAAATACTGTATTAAATAATGTATATCTTGGCTGAATTTTCATTTTCCTTCAAATAATTGTGTGGTTTTTAATGAAGGTGACTCACTAGATGTATAGCTGTAATTTAAATTTACAACACAAAGATATTTGGTATAAAATAATTTATAAATAAGAAAAACAGTACAAGAATACATAACAATTTTTAATTTAAAAATATTTTTACTACATGTGTCGTGCACTGACTCTTTTGAGATTTACCTTTACTTTATGTATACATTTACCTATGTATATGCCTACATGTATGCCTGTGCACTATGGACACACAGTGCCCACAGATGCTAGAAGAGGTCGTCAAATCCTCTGGAACAGAAGTTAGAGGCAATTGTTAGTCACTTGTAGGTGCTGAGAATCAAGCCCAGGTCATCTGGAAAAGTAGTCAGTGTTCTTTACCACTGAGACATCTCTTCAGCCCTATGTATCAACTCATAGATTTCCAAAGTCCAAGAAAGGAAGAAAGTGGAAAGAATCATGAGTTATAACTTAAAATTTGAAACCTGTATCCCACAAGGCACAGGAAGCAAAGGAAATACTGAAGAGTCTCATTTTCATTATGAATATCAGCCCTAATGAATGTCTTAGTTTTTGATGGCACAGAGTTAGAAAAAAGGAAAAATGCCAAGAATAAGAATATTTAATTTTGGAGCCAGGCGTTGGTGGCGCATGCCTTTAATCCCAGCACTCGGGAGGCAGAGGCAGGCGGATCTCTGTGAGTCCAAGGCCAGCCTGGTCTACAGAGCGAATTCCAGGACAGCCTCCAAAGCCACAGAGAAACTTTGTCTCAAAAAACCAAAAAAAAAAAAAAAGAATATTTAATTTTGGGATCGGAGAGATGACTCAGTGGTTAAGAGCACTGACTGCTCTTCCAGAAGATTTGGGTTCAATTACCAGCACCAATGTGGAAACTCACAACTGTCTGTAACTCATGTTCCAGGGGACCCAACACCCATGGTAATACACCAATGTACACAAAAAATATTTAATTTTATTATCTGTAAAATATATTTATATTTTATTGTTTTATTAATCTATATCCCCAGGAATGTCCAGTGCATAGTGGGTACCTAATAGATGAAAATGAATGAATGAATGAGTAAAATGAATGGTATTCATACATCAGGCTAGAATTTCAGGCCTGAATTTGAAGATGTAATAAAGTCATAAATTATATAAGCTATTTTATTCATTCAATAGACATCTATTACATGTGTATTTGGAATTAGGTACAATGCTGTGACAGATGAAAACAAAAGAGAAAAGAGGGGAATGGCAAAGCAAAAAAGAAGTAATATTAACTTGAAGAGATAATAATTGAGTATGGGATGACAGATGCAAATAACTAACTATAAAGCAGTGTTATAGGAATAGTGATAGACTCATACGATGTCCCTTCTAGGTGCCAGCATGAAGGAGAGATGAATGAATTGAGAAGGTGGGTTTTAGCTTTGTTTTGCTTTTTGGGGGGAAGGGGAGGTTTCAAGACAGGGTTTCTCTGTGGCTTTGGAGGCTATCCTGGAACTAGCTCTTGTAGACCAAGCTGGTCTCGATCTCACAGAGATCTTCCTGCCTCTGCCTCACGAGTGCTGGGATTAAAGGCGTGTGCCACCACCGCCCAATGGGTTTTAGCTTTTCTTGAACCTTTATATACATATACAGCTTCTTCAACATAGCTCTATGATAATTTTTCTCATGTGTTTTGGGGATTCCTTTCATCCCTTCTCTAAGTCATACTACTTTTCCAATTCCAAAATATTTAAGGAGCAAATGTAATTTGAGCAAGAATTGACAATTATAAATTACTATCTCCAGAAGTAACAAAGGAAAAGAAAAGGTGAAAAATGAAAGGCTGGAGGAGATATGAATGACTTGGAGATTTTTGTAGTGTTTCAAGCAAAGAGATAGAACTAGATAACAAGATGTCAAAGATTAAAAAGTAAAATGAGGCTGGGTGGTGGTAGCACACACCCTTAATCCCAGCACTCTAGAGAAGAGGCAGGTGGACTTCTGTATTCAAGGACAGTTTGGTCTACAGAGTGAGTTCCAGGACAGACAGGGCTACACAGAGAAACCCTGTCTCAGAGTTGTGGGGAGGTGTAAATTGAGATAATCAATAAGACCAGGTCACAGTCTGTAACAACTATTTAATAATCTTTCTACTTTCTCAATCTTTTCATTTAACTGACAATTGAAACTGGAAGCCATTTAATGATAGTGTCTTCATCCCTTTGCCATCAAGCCTTCTGGATAATATAGCAGCAGCATTGCCTTCCCTGATAATTCATCAGCCTCCCATATCTCTGTCAACTGAAGAGACATTTTCCTCCTGCCCAACCCATGTGTTCAAGATCTATCTCCTTTGTGTTTCTCAGAAGCTCCGTCCTATTTATATGTATTAATTCCTTCTCTCTCCTACATTTTCAGTCTTTACCTTTCTCATCCTTCCTTTCTTATTCATTCCTTATAAGACCATCCTACCTTAAAACAATGTGTCTTA